TCGCTGAGGCCGAGGTCCTTCCACGCTAAGTCTCCGATTCCACTCCGGAGTCGTCCAAATCCACCCGTTCTAACATATAGGGTGAAAAATTCATTTTTATTCAGTTTGAGGAAAATACATTGTAAATAAATCCTGTAAATACGAGGTAGAGCATGAAAAAGGAAGGCAACCCAAGGAGTATAAAAGGGAGACCCTTTCTGTGACTTTTCACCCCCCTCAGAGAAGTAAGAAAATAGAGTATTGTTTTTCTCAAGCATTTCTGGTTGTCACTCCAGTGCAAAAAAGTGATATACAGTTAAGATTGCCACTGTAGTAAAAGGCAGCAATTAAGGAGAGGAATATTAAGTAAATATTTCAACAGGAGAGCTGGTTAACACTCCATGTCATATCCGTGCATACCCGATCCCGACCCGACTCCCGGACCTCCATCTTCACCACCTCCAGAGTCCTACCCTACTGCTGTCCGTTCCGATATTCACCTTCGGTCCTGACACCACACCTCCTCTCACCCCTCATGCCACCTCCACTCCTCTGTCCTTCTCCTGTCCTATCTCTGTCCGCTCCGATACTCACCTCGGACCGAACACCACTCCTCTTGCCACCTTCCTCCTACTCCTCCCACTCCTCCACTTCCTCCTCACAACACCTCCACCCTTCCGTCATTCCCCTACCCTTCGCCCGTCTGCTCTGATACTTGCCTTCGGACCTGACACCTTTCCTCTCCTCCACTCCTCTCCCTTTTCCTCTTTCCTCTCTCTTCCCTCTGGCCCTCTTCTGCTGACCTTCTGCCAAGTTACAACCTTCCGCCGCTGTCCTGTACCTCGTACCCGGACACCACTCGTACCTTCACTCCAAGACTCTGTCATAGTTCCTACCTCGGACTTTGACCCCACCTCGGCTTTAGTCCATTGCATTGGTGACCTCATACTACGTAAACACCATTGCCAATATTCCTCGGACTTTCAACCCCGCCTCCATACTTTTGCGTTTCCCCCTCATCCCTATTTGGACTGCTGCTTCTTCCCATTCTAGCCAGTTAGTCATCATCCCCACTTCCCCTCATCCTCCTGCCCCTCTGGGCTTCGCCCTCCTTATCTCCTTTCAGATGTACCACAGGTTCAGCCCTATGACCTTTGGTACCACTCCACTTCTGTCATCCCTTTGTTCCTGTTCGGACGCCTTCATTCCGATTCGGACCCCCTTTGTTCCCTTGTGCTTTTGCCCTCTCCATATATATATCGGCACTTGTACATACTCGTTTTAGGCCTTAGTCTAAAATCGACCTGAAATGCCCCCTAGAGACTTCCTGCTTGCCTCCTATGAAATTAAGGACCAAATGGACAAACAGCAATGGCACAGCGCTCCGCTTGAGTCGCTGAGGCCAAGGTCCCTCCTTGCTAAGTCTCCAGTTCCCCTCTGGAATCGTCCGCCCTCGCCCAGTTCTAACACTCCAGATTTCAAAGTGTAAACACAAAACAGTTATTTTGCTACTGTTAAAACAAGCAATAAAAATAAGACAAAAATAAGACAAGGTCAAGGGACACTTCAGACACGATCTAAAACCATTAACTGAGTAGAATCTTTGAAAATTCACCAAGTAGAAGATTTAATTTAAGTTAAAATCCAAATTAAACGATCCTACACAGAATTACACCCAGACAAATTGAGAAATTACAATAGAGGAACAGCTCTGCAGGGCTTTGTTTATCTGTAAGTCAATCCTCAGAAACTTTTAGACTAACCCATGAAATAGAACTAGCCAAAACACTCGGATTGGTACTATAATTACAACAAATATTACTAGTACACTTCCCCATCCTAACTAAAGAACCAGGGAACAGCTTGGTGGTGGTCTCATTTGAACCTCCCAACTGACCTTCCTTCGTTCTCTCCTTCAATGTATGCCTGCTCCACACCCCATGAGGGCCCCAGTGCCAGGCGTTACATCCGGGCCCCGTCCCCAGATGCGTCCCCAACATGAAGAGGATGGAGAAGATGACAGAGAGGAGGAAGGTGGAAACACAAGAATTGAAGGGAAAAGCATGGATGAAGGAGATGAAAGGGAATCGACGATTCATTGCCACATGCAAGCTGACCAAAGAGGTATTGCATGCGAGACAGGCAGTGGAAATTGCAAGGCGATGCAATGTCATCCCAGAGGACAGATAACATGGGAGTCACATGAGGAAATGATATGACTAGCCGAGCATGAAGACATGGCATGGTTCAATGCATGGTTGTTGGCGATGACACAGAATCATGTTGCAGAGGAAGGTGGAGAAGGAATGCTCACACAAACAATTGCAGTGACAACTTTGGAAGAAGCGCTGAACGGAATGCACGAGAGGAGCAACGATTTCATGTGGCAGACAATTGAAATGCTGACAGAAAGCAGCAATGCATCCAATGATGTAGATGTCTCAAGCCTACATGAAGATCAGCTTTGTGCATATGCAATAGTAACACCTTGAAGTGAGGATTCATGGAGAGGATGCAGAACAATTGCTGATGCTCCTGACTGGGGAAGGTGGGACAGGGAAGTTGCAAGTGATTCACAGTATTTGGCAATACTTCAAGAGCCGTGGCATGGAAGGGCAATTGGCCCTAGGCACATACACAGGAATCGCTGCCAGTCTCATAGGAGGGAAGACACTTCACATGTTGTTCAGATACCTCATAATTGATGAGTACTCAATGGTATCCCGATCACTGATGGCTTGCCTCTCTACAATAATGGGGCTAATCAAGGCCCACAATGGGGAGGAGGAGAGGAGCCACATGCCATGGGGAGGATTGAATGTGATAATTTGCGGGGACTTCAGTTCAAGCCCGTTGTGCAGAAAAGCAGTGCAGCTTTGTACTGGCCAATATTGGTGGCACAGGATATGGGAGAGGACATTACAGGGTCAGAGCTATACCAACTATTTACCACAGTGGTGTGCTTGACACAGCAAATGCGAGTCCAAGATGCGGAGTGGACTGAATTCCTTCAATATGCACGACATGGGAAATGCACAACTTCACACTTGAAGATGCTTCGGAGACTCCTTGTGACATCAAGGGATTGTCCCCCAACAAATGCGAAGGAGGCCCCCTGGAAGGAAGCCATATTGGTGATGCCCCGACACACAGTGAGGGTCTTGTGGAATGAGCAAGCAATGCGACAGCATTGCAGAATGACAGGCAGACGGTTGTACAACTTTCATGTGGAAGACACAATTGGGGGGTGACCATTAACGATACGCAAGGAGTGGGCAATGGCATGGCATGTGCTGAAGGATAACAGTTATAGTGGCAGGCTGAAGTGTCAAGGTGGACTGGCAAGGAAAGCGCCCCTGGTGGAGGGATGCAAAGTGATCATCACCACAAATCTGGATACTGACATGGATATCACAAATGTGGCAAGAGGAGAGGTCATCAAAATATGGGCAGATCCTCGAGAAATCATAACGACAGCAATCAACAGTGTTGTCAGGGTTCAGCACCCTGCCCTAGGGTGCCCCAGACTCCCCAACCAATCCCTTCCTTCCATTCCTTCATTGTTGCCTTGTTGTTGCCTTTCTGTGTTGTGTATCCACGTGCATGGGATAGTGTGGGAACTTTCTGAGCAAGCAGCTCACCCAGAATGTTCCCACGGGTCACAGCCACAGTTCTGGGTGAGCAACTTGCCCAGAACATTCCCATGCTTACTGGGCACTGCCACCTGGATGTTCCCCCCGGGTCACACTACACAACTCTAGGAGCTGTATAGTTGTGGGCATGTGACCCACTTTATATAGCAACCATGCGGGGAGATGAGACCTTTACCCTTCTTCTCATCTCATGCCCTGTGTTAGATCAGGCGGATTCGGATGACTCCGGAGTGGAATCGGAGACTTAGCATGGAAGGACCTTGGCCTCAGCGACTCATGTGGAGCGCTGTGCCATTGCTGGTTGTCCTAGGGGTCCCTAATTCCGGATCTAGCAGAGGGGAAGTCTCTTGGGGGGAAATCAAGTCGATTTTGGACTGAGGTTACAAGTTATGTACTATGTACATTGTATATAAGGAGGGGTCCGGAATCAAAAGGAACAAGGGTAGGATGAAAGGAGACAAAGGGAGATGGAAAGAGGAACAACACCGAGGGTCAAGGGTTTGACTCAATGGTGTTTCTCAAAGGAGGAGTGAAGGGCCAAGGCCCAAGGAGGAAGGATGGAGGATGGGAGTCAGGAATGGCTAGCTGACTGAATAGAAAGGAAGCAGCAGCCCAAATAGGAATGAGGGAGAATAGCGGAATTGAAATGGAGCAATGCAATAGTTGCAAGGTCCGAAGTAAGTCCGGAAAGTCCGAACTCGGAGGTTAAACTCCGGAATATTGGCAAAGGTAATGAGCTAACCAATACAATGGGTATAAGTGGAGGTGGGGTCAAAGTCCGAGGTCGGAGCTAAGACCAGAGGTTCCAAGACAGAGATGTGAACAGGATTCCGGAGTGGAGGTCCGGAGTCGGGAGCATAGGTGTTGCATGCTTGTCTGGGTGTCGAGGTTGAGGTTGGACCCGGAATGATCCAGAGTCAAACCGAAGGGGGTGTCGGAGCCGGAGGTGGGATAACCTCTTGGAAGTCGGCAAGGAGAAGGTGATGGAAGGGAAGTGGGGCTCCGGAGTCAGTTTCGGAGTTCCGGGAGCCCGGAATGGAGGTCAGGATTGTATGGATATGACACCCCACATAGGCAAGTGTATATATTTCACTCTCTTTTACTATACATCTCATGCCCCGCATAGTGTGAGGACAGGTCAGATGGGGGCTGAGGTCAGGGAGCCTCCGAGTCCAAGGCCGGGCCCTGACAAGTGTTCAAGACATGAAATACCCACCAATGTGCATTGTGGTGAAATTGGATAGATACCGAGGAAAGTGCATCCAAGGGTTGGAAGAGGGAACAATCCCCATATTTCCGATTCTTTGATCTTTCGACATATTCATGCCAAATGGTGACAAAAAGAAGGTCCACTGATGCCAGATCACGATGGATAGTGTGTATGCATTTATGGATTATTGTGCACAAGGACAAACCATCGACTACTTATGGGCAGACATCAGGACACCTCTGAAAGGAAGCCTAACACCATTCAATGTGTATGTGACATTGTCGAGGGCACAAGGCCGATCAAATGTACGATTGCTGCAAGACTTCAAAGACAGCCTCTTCATGACAACACCATGTGAGGTGTTAGAACAAGAAGACAAACAATTAATGAATCTCAATAGAGAAACTAAGCAAGACTGGGAAAGAAGGCAAGGACGAAGAGGACAGAAGATGGATGGCTAGATGGGAAATAGCAAGAACAAAAGAAAGAATATATCGCATGTCTCCAGCCAATGAAAGTGTGGGAAGGGTTGAAGTAATCAAACAGCAAGCTGGAAATTATATTGAATTTAACAATTGCATCAGATGACCATGCAGCAACTAAATGGGTGAACACATCAGATTCAGTGTCAGTTTTCACATAATATTAACACTGGAGAGTGACCTGCTGTGCAGGTAATAAGTTCCACTGATTACCTGTATTGCTAATCTTCTTTTTCAATCCCAGCCCTATTCAACCACTGATTGCAACTACGCTTAAAGTTGTCCCTCAAATGCTGTGATACAATTGTAAACGGTCCATTTCCCAACATCAATCTATGGCCTGCATCAGCACACTATGTCAAAAACCCCGAACGTGGGGAAATGTCAGGGCATGCCGCCGCCGCCACCACCTCCTTCTCCTTTTCGTCTCATCGTCTCATTCTCTCCTCTTTCCTTCTTCTCTTTTCTATCTTTATACAGACGACCTCTCTTTCTTTCCTACACTTGTAGCATGGTCGCGCTGCACACTCCTACTTGTATTTCCCCTCTAACACTCGGGATTGACTGCGGAGCTACCCGCAGTAACCTGGCTTCGTCCAGGGGTGACGTGGCACCTCCACGTAACCCATTCACACATGTATATAAACTAGGCCAAAGCAGGACTGAAGAAGTAACCTTCTTCTCATTTCCTGCTTCAGGCAAGTACCCTAGTTTAGTCTAGCTTCCCACTCTAATAACAATACATTTCCCGCTTCAGCCTAAGAAGCCACACAGGGATGTAAGCCTGAGCGGGGGCTGCCCACTATATGGTCTCACCACCCCGCCGCCGTCTGGGCCGCTAGTGCCAAGCACTACACTGCTACCTCTACCTTCCTTGAGCCGTCCCTGACAGCAGAAGAAGGTTTCAACCTAATCTCCCCCACCTCCTCCAGCATGGTCACCGAAGAGCAGTACCAGGACCTGCTGACTAGGTTCCAGGAACTGCAGGCCATCCTCGAGAGCCACGTCCAGAACCCATCGGCCCTGCCTGTGCCTGCACCCACACCTACACCCAAGCCCAAAGCACCCAAGGTTGCCCCCCCACCGCCTTTGCCGGAGCGAGCAAGGACCTCAACTGCTTCAAAGCAGAATACAGAATCTACTTCCATGTCCGCGCCGCAGAGTTCCCCAACACCCTGTCCCAAATCCTTTTCATCCTGTCATACATGAAAGGAGGAGCTGCAGGAGCATGGGCAACACAGCGCACAATTGCGCTGCTGACGGTGGGATCCCCCATGATCACTATGGATGAGTTCATGGCAGAGCTGGACGCCATGTTCCAAGACCCCAACCAGGAAGCCACTGCCCGGCAGAAGCTCGCCGCTTTACAGCAAGGCACTGACTCCGTGGATAGAATCATCCAGGAGTTCAAAATCCACGGTCCCGCTTCGCGGCTAGGTGACGTAGGGCTGGTAGACCGCTTTGAACAAGCGATCAATGCCCGGCTCTGTGAGAGCATCTACCATCTGCACCCCATGCCAAGAACCTGGGCAGAATGGAAACGAGAGGCTACCCTCCTTGACAACCAATGGCAGCGCTTCCAGGCGACTCAACCCCGACTCCCCCTGCTCAAGTCGCCCCTCCCCCCCGCCAGACCGCCGCCATCACTCTCTCAGACCCTCCCATGCCCACCACTGGGGCCACCGCCGTGACCTGCTGTGACCCCTACTACCCCCACGACTACAGCCCCGCTGCCTCAGCCGATGGACCTTGACCGCTCAAGGGCAGACCAACGACAAGGGCTATGCCACAACTGCAATGCCCCTGGGCACTTCGCACAAGACTGCCCCCTCCCAAAGGTCTGCCGAGTGCGCCGCATGCACCCGGAAGACCTTTGAGCACTCGCAGAAGGGCTGAGGAGCCAGCTGATGGGGACACCTGAGGGGAACGAGGAGGAGAGAGAGGAAGGGAACCCCTCTGCAGATTTTCAAGAAGGCGACCGGTGAGGGATGCGTCCTGGCTGCCTGCAAGCAATGATACCCAGTGTAAATACAGAGATATGTGCGAGTCTGCACCGCTGTCCAAATTCCACCAGGTGATTGCTAAGAAACAGAGGAAAATCGCATCCTCGACCAGAAAGAGCACAAAAACCGCTAGCCTGCCCTCTGAGGTGGCCGTCTCCCCACCTGCCATCTATGTGCTTGCCAAGCAATCCCCCCGCTCCCTCAATATGAAAGTGAAGGTGACCGCCCTACCGTCCCTCGCTGCAGTCGCCGTGTTGGCACTGCTAGACTCCGGCGCGACCGGGAACTTTGTGAACCCAGACTTCATCCGGAAGCACAGGCTCGAGACAACCCCGCTCCCCCAACCCATTCCAGTTCACAACGTGGACGGGATGCCTAACAAGAATGGAGCCATCACAGAGGAACTGGAGGCCCTGTTGACATTCGGCCAACACATGGAGCATGCCCACTTCGCCGTAGCAAACTTAGGACAGCAGTCCCTCATCATTGGGCACTCGTGGTTGTTACACCACAACCCAGAGGTCAACTGGGCACAGCAGAAGGTCATCATGTCCCACTGCCCCTCCTCCTGCCAATCACCGTGAGCAGATGTCAGGCAAGCCCTCAAAGTAGAACCCGGCGACGGAATCTACGCCGCCGTAATCCCACCGGGGTGGGGACACGACCTAAGGGCAACCACAACGCCGTCCCAATGCCTGGCAGAGGAAGCCCAAGACACAGAGGCGAAGCCGTTGACGCTGGAAGAGCTGGTACCTGAACACTACAGGGACTTCCAGGATGTTCTCAAAAGAAGCCTTCGATGTGCTGCCCCCGCGAAAGCCCTGGGACCACACCATTGACCTGACCCCCGATGCCAAACTACCCAGAGGCAAGACATTGTAGGAGGGCACAGCAAGTACCACACAAACAAGGCCAGAAACACGTTTTTCGAGGCTCCAACGAGCACCCTCAAGCATACAACACAATCCCAACGCCCACGACACATTTTAACATTTTTCCCAATTTCTTTTATGCTTTTTTCTCAAGACTCATATTGCCACTTCCCCAAAATCCACGGTTATCTACCATTTTCCCCATATCTCCCCCAAATCTCTACCAATTCACACGATTTTGAGCTCGATGGACAGCGACGGATCAGGAGAAGAGGATGGAATAATGGGACGGGAGTTAGGATGACGGATATGCGGTGGAGAAGCGAGATTGATGGTTGATATTGACCTTATGGGCCTCAATTATTGATTTTATTGTTACCTTGTGGACATTTTTTTTGCCTTATTGTTTCTTAGCCGAGTTCTCAATATTCTTCCTGTTTCCATTGCCACCATCCATCGGCTATTTTCCTTGTTTTTTGTTCTGATTTCTCTTTTTTTCTATATATACACCAAGTTTGCGTTGTACTTACAGTTGTTGGACCCCTCTTCTGTGCTACAAAGAATGTGGTGTTGAGCGATCTTTCCATACGTTAAAGAAGCCTCCTGACGACTGTCCAAGAAGGACCAGGAGTGAGTACATGATTAGTGAGATTTTATTGATTATGTTCTAGCACCCAGACCACAGCACAGTATCGGCACTGTTGCCACCATCCTTTCTCCCTCCTTCCGACCCAACTCAGACACTACCCCCAGGTCCCTACTCTTTTTCCTGGGCAGCTCTTTTTGCCTGGTTACAACGTTCCCCCTATCCTGGCCAGAACAGAAGGAACTAGATGAGTTCTGGCGCAAGAACCTGCAGAACAGGTGCATACACCCATCGAAGTCGCCGATGGGCGCCCCCGTATTCTTCGTCAAGAAGAAGGACGGGTCCCTGCACCTGGTTCAGGACTACCGAAAGCTCAACGAGATAACGGTCAAGAACTCATACCCCCTCCCACTCATTTCCAACGTCCTTGCACGCCTTCGAAATGCAAAGTATTTCTCGGCGCTGGATCTGCACTGGGGGTTTAACAACATGCAGATCAAAGACGGCGATGAGTGGAAGGCAGCATTTGCGACCAACCGAGGCCTGTTTGAACCCATGGTAATGTTCTTTGGACTGTGCAACTCCCCAGCAACCTTCCAAACCATGATGAATGACATTCTTCGGGATTTCATTGACCGAGAAGTTCATCATCTGTTATATGGACGACATCTTGATCTTCACATCCACCCTAGAGGAACACCGGAAGGTCGTGTGGGAAGTGCTGGGAACGCTGCGGAAGAGGAAACTCTTCCTCAAACCAGAGAAGTGCAAGTTCGAGCGGCGCTGCATCGAGTACCTCAGACTTGTCATCTCCGAAGGCAACATGGCCATGGACCCGGTGAAAATCCAAGGAGTCCTCGACTGGCCGACGCCGACGAAGGTGAAAGAAGTGCAGTCCTTCTTGGGCTTCATAAACTTCTATCGCCGCTTCATCAAAGACTTCTCCGAGACAGTGCACCCGCTCCATGTGCTAACCCGCAAAGCGAAGGTCTGGGAATGGGGGGAGAGCGAAGAAAACGCCTTCAATGCTCTTAAGAAAGCCGTCACCTCCGCCCCCGTCCTCGCCTTCTCCGCTAACAGTGGCCGCTACAAACTCGAGTGCGATGCCTCCAACTTCGCCACCAGCGCCATCCTGTCCCAGCTCCAAGCCGATGGCGAATTCCACCCCGTAGCCTTCATGTCCAAAAGCTTCACTGAGGTAGAACGAAACTACGAAATCTACGATAAGGAAATGCTCGCGATAGTCCGAGCGTTAGAAGAGTGGCGTCACTTTGTAGAAGGAGCAGAAGAAAAGGTCAATATCTACACCAACCACCGTAACTTGGGCTATTTCCACACTGTGCAGCGGCTGAATTGCCGCCAAGCACAATGGTCACTCTTCCTATCCCGGTTCCACTTCACCCTCATCCACCGCCCAGGGAAGCTCATGGGGAAACCGGACGCCCTCTCACGCCGCGCTGACCACCCGAAAGGGAAGGACAACAACGAAAGCTTGACCCTCTTACAGCCAGAGTGGTTCGAAGCCCGCACGACTGAGGCCATCACAGTGGAGGGAGAAGAGATGACCATCCTGGAAAGGATACGCATGGTGAAGGACCGCGACGAGAAAGTGGTGAAAGCACTGAAGGAATTAGGAGATAGGACGCTCAGGTCAGATGAATGGAGCAAAGATGGAGAGCTGGTCCTCTACCGAGGAAAGGTGTACGTCCTGAAAGACATGCAACTCCGCCACGACCTGGTGCGGCTACACCATAATGCGTGGGCAATGGGGCACCCAGGGCAATGGAAAACCCTGGAACTCATCTCCCATGACTACTGGTGGCCCCAGATGGCGGAGTACATGGGCCGCTATGTAGCAGGGTGCGATGCCTGCAACCAGGTCAAATCGTTCCCTTCACGGAAGGTGGGGAAACTCATGCCGAACAAGATCCCCACCCGCCGCTGGCAGGTAATCTCTGTAGATATGATCAGAGAGCTCCCCGAGTCAAAAGGTTACAATGCCATCCTGGTTGTAGTGGATCGCCTCTCCAAGCGCATCCATGCAATCCCCACAGTCACAACGGCAGACTCAGCGGGAATCACCCGACTTTTCCTTGAACATGTCTGGAAGCATCACGGCCTCCCCAAGGAAATTCTCAGTGACAGAGGGAGCGCCTTCGTCTCCCAGTTCTCCAAAGAACTGGCAGCCCTGCTAGCAGTCAAACTGACCCCCTCGATGCCCTACCACCCACAGACGGATGGACAGACAGAGTGGGTAAACCAAGAGATAGAAGCATACCTCCGAGTGTTTGTCAACCACCGCCAAGACGACTGGGCAGATTGGCTCCCGCTAGTGGAGTTCTCCCATAACAACCGCATCTACGCATCCACCCGCCACACCCCCTTTGAGCTCGACACCGGCCAGCACCCCAGAATGGGGACAGAACCTACGCACACATCAGAAGTCGAAGCCCAGATGCATTCACCTTGAGGATGATGAAAATGCAAGAGGAGGCGAAAGCGGCACTCGAGCATGCAGCAGAGGAGATGGCCCGCTACTATGACCGGAATCGGGAAGCAGTGCCTGAGTACAAAGAGGGTGACCAAGTCTGGCTCAGCACCCAAAACTACACCACGGACCGCCCAACCAAGAAGCTAGATCACAAATGGACAGGCCCCTTTAAAATTCTCAAGGTCGTATCCCCCGCTGCCGTCAAGCTCCAACTTACAGCATGGCAAAAGGGAGTCCACCCAGTGGTGTCAGTAACGAATGTCCGACCCCACCGCCCAGACGAGATCACCGAACGACCCACCGACCCTTGCCCAGGCCCCAAAATCATAGATGGGGGGGAAGAGTATGAAGTTGAGAAGGTCCTCGACTCCCGCTGGCGCTGCAGGAAGCTCTGGTATTTAGTAAAGTTCACAGGCTGGCCAAACTCCGAGAATGAATGGCTCCCCCTTGACAACCTGGCCAATGCGCATGACCGGATCGAGGAGTTCTACAGAGCGCACCCAGATGCCCCCAGGAGAGAACGAGGGAACCCTCTAGCCACTTCGAGGCGAAGCGGCTTAAGGGGGGGGTGATGTCAGGGCACGCCGCCGCCGCTGCCGCTGCCACCTCCTTCTCCTTTTCGTCTCATCGTCTCATTCTCTCCTCTTTCCTTCTTCTCTTTTCTATCTTTATACAGACGACCTCTCTTTCTTTCCTACACTTGTAGCACGGACATGTCCAACGCTGAGCACCCCATAGGGGCACCGTGACGCCGGACACACCGTGCACTCCTACTTATATTTCCCCTCTAACACTCGGGATCGACCGCGGAGCTACCTGCGGTAACCTGGCTTCGTCCAGGGGTGATGTGGCACCTCCACGTGACTCATTCACACATGTATATAAACTAGGCCAAAGCAGGACCAAAGAAGTAACCTTCTTCTCATTTCCCGCTTCAGGCAAGTACCCTAGTTTAGTCTAGCTTCCCACTCTAATAACAATACATTTCCCGCTTCAGCCTAAGAAGCCACACAGGGACGTAGGCCCGAGCAAGGGCTGCCCACTATACAGTCTCACCGCCCCGCCACCGTCCGGGCCACTAGCGCCAAGCACTATGCCACTACCTCTACCTTCCTTGAGCCGTCCCTGACAGGAAAGTGCATGAGTCCGAATGCAGGTGGGGCTCAACTAGAGGGGGTCCGAGAGCTCCAGTAGTGAACCGGAGCTTCTCCAGGAAGCCCGGGTCTGCTGGATGGTACAAGAGGCTCTAAGAAGGACGCGGCCTCAGCGACTCGGAGGGAGCGCTGTGCCTCCGTTACGTCTCAGTTAGTCCTTATATTTCATGTGTCTGAGGTATCTTGTAGGAAGGGGTCGGGATTCACTCATAGGGGATCTTGGGGTAACTTTTAGTCGAGATTAGAACTGGCTTACAATGGGTTCTAATCTACATGTATATATAGAGGGATGGGGAGGAGGACTTTAGTCAAAGTCCAAGTGATACCAACAAACACCAAAAGGTTCCGAGTGATATCAACAAACACTGAAAGGTTCCGAATGATATCTGTAACAGGGAACCAAGGTGTTGGGTCAAGGAGGGCGGAGTTGAAGGCCGGAGGATAGAATGGAAATGAGAAATGGGTAAGGGGAAGTTAGCTGACTGAATGGAATGAATGGAAAGAAGGTAACAGTCGTACTACAAATGGAAGGTGACTAATTTAAGATGACATGCGTGGGATCACCAGAGGATGCGGGTAGCTCCAAGGGCAGAGTTACATATCTGAAGGATGTTGGGTGACTCCACTAAATGAAATGGGAGGAGGAGTGGTGTCACGGGATGTCGGAGATCCGTTGGGAGGTCGGAGCAAATCCGGAGTCTCCGAATGTTCCGACTTGGGGCCGAGCTTCCGGGATGGGGGTGGCCAAGGTAAGGTGTGCCGAGGTCCAGGCCGGAGCTGAGGCAACTGGGGAGGAAGGCGACATTGGGGAGTGGGGGGGTATGGTGTAGGGGGTGGTGGAGTTGTTAGGGAGGTGTAGAGAGGTGGGAGAGTGCGGGGTCGGGATTCCGGGATATGACACACTATCTACTCACAAACTTAGAGCGTCCTGATGCCAATGCTATGCCAAGTACCACTGAATATTCTTCCTTCCAAGAAACGAGCTCAGTGCCCTTAATGGGCTTATTAGGATGAGTCCTGAGCCAGGCATAGATGCTGATCATGCTGACCCTGACCTGCCTACCAACACAGCTAGTGGCCTGGGAAATGCTCTCGACCCTGAGGTGACCCCAAGCCCTGTAGATGATGCGCTAGAAGCAGGGCCAGATGGCGCAATTGACCTTGCTGGGAATGTCGAAACATTCAGCGAGCCTCTTGCCAATTTGGCTCCACCTCCTACAGCTATTTGGCATAATCAATCAGGAGTTCCAGCAGTAATGAGAACATCGAAGAGATGTTCTGGAATCAGAACCCTCATCCTCAGAGCCTTCCCCAATTTCAACGATCTTCAATGCTATACGCTCACCCAGCAAATCCTCTCAGCAACAAAAGCCAATGAAAATTTGGGAGGAAATAATGGAGTTGTATTTGCCTAAAGAATCAGGAAGAGTGAGAATTCCCCTGGCCTCCCACCACTCATCCCAGCTCCATTAGATGGTAAAACAAGACAGCCAGACAAGATACTACAAACACATCACAATCTTCCCCAATGCACTAGTAACGGCCAATCGCTGGCAGCTGATAGATGGCACGATAATTGATGTGTACATTGAGATGCTGAAAGACCTCACTGACAAAAACCTGTGGGACCTGCTCAGCAGGTTGAGTGGCTCTATTTTTGAAGGGAGTATCAGTGATAAGGACCTGCTTGATAAAGGTGAGCTGTTACTCAGTGACACTGTCTCTGGTACCACCTCATCATCCTGTGCTCCTGTCACCTCATTCTGTGGCAGTCTGGCTCCATTGCAAGCGGGCTAGAAATATAACCCCCTAAATGCAAGAAATTCATGGGGAGGGAGTCTAGGATGTCCTTAGCTCATCCTAGGTTCAGTCCAGGCTAACAAAACAAAAACAGTCACAAAAACTCTTAAAGAATTACGTACCCCTGGTCCTGTCAGGGCACACCTGCCTGACCTGGGTCCACCCAGGTCCACCCAGGTCCACCCAGCCCCACCTCACCCACTGCCCTGCTACCCATCCCTCTCCCTCCTCCTTCCTCCCTCTTCTCCCCTCTCCCTTTTCTCTCTCTCTTTATTTCATTCTTCCCATCACTCTCTTTCTGTTTATTCCTTCTATTTACATGGACCACTTCCCTTGTATCAAGGTACTGTTGACCCATCTGACCCAGGCACCTCAGATGGCTTTCCACTGTGCCCAGCACACATGCCTGCAGTGGATGCTCTTGGGATCCCCCATGGGGACACCTGGATGGCTGTGGCTGTGTCCAAGGATGACGTTGTAACAGGTCTAGTCAATCTAGACTCGTGGCTCAGGTCTGGGGGGGGTAGGTCTCTCTCTAGTGTCAGACAGATGTAGTGGGGTCCTTGGGTACAGTGCTGATAACCCTCTCTAACTACTGTACAGCGTCACGGAAGAGTCCGATACAAATAGAAAAGGAAGGTCACATGCGTGAATGAATCAAAATAGTAAAGATAGTAAAGAAAATGTCATATCTCCTCAACAACCCAACCAAATCCAACGATCTTAGACTCGTCAGAACCACCTCTACAACCTCTACAACCTCTACAACTCCTACTATTACCCCGACTCACCAATCCTAATCCCTGATGCAGTAAAGGGTGAAGTGTGCAATGAGGCTCGTTTTAACCCACACGGACTTGTCCCCACAACAACGTGGCACCCATCATGTGACCCAAGTATAGTTTTCCCCTTTAATAATAACTCACCTTTTCCACTTCAGTCTAAGTGGCCAGGGACACTGTCCCACCTCAGGGCTGCCGGTATGCATGCCTGCTTCGCACCCTGGGAAGGTCCCTCTGCCGGGTGCTACACCTGGACCCCCTCTACCCTGGACACATCCCTGACAGGTCCATTTGGACAATCGTCAGGGGTTCCTTAAATACTCAAGGAGTTAAGCTTAGGGTTTCTTTTCTACTTGGATCTCTCAGCACTACAGTCTCTTTTGTAGTCAAAAGGGAGGTCCTCCTTCCATCATACGTGTACAGGGCTTTTAAACACATAGAATGGCAATATTGTGGAAAAACAAATGAAAAGAAAATATAAAATGAAAGATTGTTGTTACGGGCACCATGTGGACAGTTATGTATGGCCGATAAGTCCAATGTCCAATGTGGAAGTTCAATAAAAGAAAACAGGAGTGATAAGTGGGCCATATCCGCTAATAATTGCCGTCCTCCACCAATTTCCATCATCACACCACACTCATCCATCTCCTCCTACCTGTAGCATCCCTTCCCGATCTCTCCATTTGATTCCCTGGGTTCGTAGCTTTCTCCCAATACCAAATTTGTCCCAAATGGTTGAGATTTGACCAAGTGGTGGGTGTGAGAATCGTGAAATTGGCCCATGTGCAGAGTTAGACATCCTGGAAAGTGTCCATGAGAGTCCCTGTGTCAATTGAATCTTCACATGTGTCCTTTGTGATTTTTCTGAGCACTCCAGAGTGCATTTTGGTTGTTTGTTTACTTTGGTATGGCTTGTGATTTCCATTTTGGGCTGAAAACCAGTTTCGCAATCTCCTGAAGTACAGATCTCAGCTCTGCTGCATGGGACTTTCGACACTGCCACCCTCACATGCCTTTTGACATTGTGTGGAACCTCACAGTAAGATGAGAAATCATCACCACCATTGCTCCACAATGCACCTACTACTCGTGACCCAGTCAATATAAAATGGTATCATGGGGTTACCATCCAACCTACCTTCTTAGATAGTATTCAAGCGTTTGAGTGCATGCACCCGTGCACTGGTGCACTGAGAGAAAAATATGTTGGGAAAGTGGTTTACGGAGGGGCCCAAGAAGCTCTGGGGTGCCCGTGATCGGTTTTTTCAATTACAATACAATGCGCAAGCACTTCAGTGCCAAATGTATTGCCGGCATCATCTCCTGATCCGTCGTCATCGCCGCTGCCGTCGTCGACGACATCAAAGTCAATCTTCACAAATCTCGCATACTTTTTTCTTTGTTCTTTTTCCTGCTTGCATTGTTACTACCCATGTATTTACCCTACCGCTACGTTCATTGATATGGTAATTATTACATTGATTCCAAATCCATACTTTCCAACGCATTCACAATCCTTCCAATGGTGTGCCGATAGTCCTATCCCCATTGGCATAACAGGATAATGATAATGTTGGATAGGATGTGAGATAAAGTGCCTACAACCGTAGAAGATTTGTTAGTAAGAGTCTTAATAACGCTCCGCCCCAAGTTTGGCAAGAGTGAACTGAGGGGGTGTTGGATCAATGAAAGACCGTATTCTATGGGCCCTAAAGCTCCCAAGGAATGGAAATAGAGTAAAAGAAAAAAAGCGATAGTCCAGGCCACACCACCTTATGTCCACAGTGGCCGAAGCCATATTAAGCGCCATCAGTCATCATTGAACTTCTAACAACAGAATGGTCAGGACGAAAACTGTTTGCTTGATCCAAATGCTAGCTTTGAGATACACAAACATACCACAGAGGGAGAGGGTGGGTTGGACAGGGCAGAAACATATTGAGTGATATACAAAGTAGTATAGTGTACTATTCAATTGGCACGCATGCACTCTTAATCCTGGCACAGTCTGTCATGAATATTCCCCAAGCTCTACTAACCTCTCATCTGGGTTTGTAATCGGCAAAGATGGTTGGCCATAACATGCAAACAACGTTCTGACTCAGATCACGACCATGGTTGTCCACAATCGTGCTTGACTCAAGATGAGCACTGGGTGGCTAACACCATGCAGCAATGAACTTCACAGGTGTGGCTCAAAATCTGTGGGATACTGGACAGCTGCTTATCTACGGGGTTTTATTTCACTTTCCTATGTTGTCCTGCTAGGGAAGGTGCTGGGATCTCTGGGTGACTGACGGCACTTAACATTGCTTGGGCATATAGCCATAAGGTGGTGTGGCCAGAATTATTATGCTCTTTCATTTGCACCCTGCATGCTTTTGCCTTCAACTTCGTGCATAAACACTTATTTCACACCTCCTTGATTCACTGTTGTGAGGCTGATTGTATGCCACTATTACATAGTGTCTTCCCTTTTTGCTAGTTTACTCGTACCTCTCTCTGTCATTCACCCATCTTTTCTCACTGTGTCCTCTTTAGTGCTCGCTTGTACAGTCTGTCGCTTTTTCTAACCGCTTTGCACCTTGCACGCTGTTGTTACATTGAACAATAACAATGACAAACACTAATGCTAAGGCTAATATAATAAATTATCTTGTCAGCAAAGCAGGAAAAAGAACAAAGAAAAAAATATGCGAAATTTGTGAAGATTGACTTTGACATTGTCGACGATGGCAGCGGCGATGACGACAGATCGGGAGACGATGCCGGCAATACATTTGGCGCTGAAGTGCTTGTGCATTGTATTGTAATTGAAAAAACCGATCACAGGCACCCCAGAGCTTCTCGGGCCCCTCTGTAAACCACTTTCCCAACATATTTTTCTCTCAGTGCACCAGTGCACGGGTGCATGCACTCAAACGCTTGAATACTATCTAAGAAGGTAGGTTGGATGGTAACCCCATGATACCATTTTATATTGACTGGGTCACGAGTAGTAGGTGCCACAATGGCTGGGTCGATCTGGATGAAATTCGGGGAATTCATGTTTATCATTTTTCTCTATTTTTTGAGCCCTTGATCGTCTCTTGGTGGCCAGTAGCACCAAGTGTAGTTTTTGGGCTGAACCAATTCAGTACCAGTGCATTATGTGCAATTGTACTCCATTATAAAATGAAATAAAATGTTTTTATGCTCCATGGGCATTGGTAGGTGATCTTCGCATGTGAGGAACCCTTAAGGAACATAAACTGCGAAAATACTGGCAGTGTAGAGTATAGTAGGTTATCCTGCCTACACTGTCCACCTGACTGCTGTTCCTGGGCCTCATGCGAGGGGGGCTTGGCCTTTGCTAAAGCATGTGTGTGAGTGGCCTTCGGCTTCAACAAGTTGAGCAGCTCTATCTCTGAAGGGAGTATCAGTGACAATGACCTGCTGGATACAGGTGTGTTATTATCTGGTGTCCCCGATACCATGTTGTCACCCTGTGGTCCTGCCGCCCTATTCTGTGGCAGTCTAGCTTCATTCACCCATGTGAGGAGGCTTGGCCTTTGCTGGAGCACATGTGTGGGTGGCTTTGGACTTCTTCCTAACTCACTTGGGAGATGGAGACTCTATCTTACCATCTCTGACCGTATTCCCTTCCAGTGAGTCTGGTAAGTCTGCCTTGCATTTCCTAGGTTGTGCCATGGTGAGCACAGCTTTGGCAACTGCCCTCCTCACCTCATTTTCGGGTAGTGTTAGAACGGGCGGATTTGGATGACTCTGGAGTGGAATCGGAGACTTAGCGTGGAAGGACCTCAGCCTCAGCGACTCAGGCGGAGCGCTGTGCCATTGCTGGTTGTCCTGGGGGTCCCTAATTTCGGATCTAGCAGAGGGGAAGTCTCTTGGGGGAATTCAAGTCAATTTCGGACTGAGGTTACAAGTTACTAGGTACATTGTATATAAGGAGGGGTTGTCATATCCATTCCCGGCCATCGACTTCCGGTCCCTCCGATTCCTCCGTTCCAACTCCGCTCCTCCCTCACTAACCTCGGAGCCCCCGTTATTCCGCAATCCTCTCGGTACCCCTCGATGGTCACCACCCCCCCATTCCAATTTATTACCTACGCCTCCCTAAGTACGGAGCCCCGAAGACTTCCGGACAGCTCCGACGTCCGCTAGTGCACCCCCGCCTCCACTGAGCAATACACTCGCCTGCCCTGCAGAGTCCACCTTCGGGCTTATCCCTCCTTTCCGTTTCTGGGTTATCGCCTGCCTTTCCGCTAACCCCATGAACCGACTCGTCGGTAATATTCAGTCGGCTAATGGTTAAACCCCGTTAGCTCCGCTCCGTTCGGCTCCGCCAATTGCGGAACCGTCTCCGCTGTAACCATATATATATCCCACTTGTACATAGGTTACGCCCCAGTAGAAAAATCAACTAGAGTTCCCCCCTAGGTTCTAATTGCCAGTCAGTAAGTTAGGGCACGGACGTGTCACTAGGCACAGCGCTCCTGGCAGAAGTCGCTGAGGCCGAAGCCCTCCGTTACGGAGACATTCTTTCGTCTCAAGTCTGGTCTCTGACAGGGGTCCAGAATCAAAAGGAACAAGGGTAGGATGAAAGGAGACAAAGGGAGATGGAAAGAGGAACAACACCGAGGGTCAAGGGTTTGACTCAATGGTGTTTCTCAAAGGAGGAATGAAGGGCCAAGGCCCAAGGAGGAAGGAAGGAGGATGGGAGTTGGGAATGGCTAGCTGACTGAATAGAAGGAAGCAGCAGCCCAAATAGGAGTGAGGGAGAATAGTGGAATTGAAATGGACAATGCAATAGTTGCAAGGTCCGGAGTAAGTCCGGAAAGTCCGAACTCGGAAGTTAAACTCCGGAATATTGGCAAACGTAATTAAATGGAATGAGCTAACCAATACAATGGGTATAAGCGGAGGTGGGGTCAAAGTCCGAGGTTGGAGCTAAGACCGGAGGTTCCGGAGACAGAGATGCAAACAGGATTCCAGAGCGGAGGTCCGGAGTCGGGAGCATAGGTGTTGCATGCTTGTCTGGAAGGTGTCGAGGATGAGGTCGGACCCGGAATGTTCCGGAGTTGGACCGAAGGTGGTGTTGGAGCCGGAGGTGGGATAACCTCTTGGAAGTCGGCAAGGAGGAGGTGACGGAAGGGGTGATGTTTGGTCCGAGATGAGTATCGGAGCGGACGGAGATAGGGTAGGAGAAGGACAGGAGGGTGGAGGTGGCATGAGGGGTGAGGGGAGGTGTGGTGTTGGGTCCGAAGGTGAATATCGGAACGGACAGCGGTAGGGTAGGACTCTGGAAATCAGGTTCGGAGTTCCGGGAGCCCGGAGCGGAGGTCGGGATTGCATGGATATGACAGGTAGCATGTATTTGCCAACACTCCCATTTGCATCAGGTGTGTAATGGAGCACCTCACACTTCTCATACTCCTCTGGTGAGTCGTAACCCATCAGCTGTGCCCTTTGGAACTTCACTGACATTCCCTTACCTACTGTCATTGTCTTGATTCTCAATTTCTGTTCAGGGTCAGAGTGGTAGAGCTGCATCATACCCTGAGCAGACTCATGTGGGGTCCAATCACATGGGACTCAGCGACTCATTCAAATGTCGGACGCCACAATGCCAGCCAGCAAAATGGAGATGATGCTCAAGTAAGAATGGAAGTATGTTTGCAACCCTCCAGTCGGTCCTGAGCTCACTTACACATGTTGCCTCCTCTGACACCAGATATCAGATAGGCAATGTGAAGTGCTCTGTCAAAGTAGGACGTATGAATCATTGTTTTAAGCCACACAGCAGCCTCAGTGCAGTGTTGGCTATGTGGGCCATATGACTTGTCTGCCATGGCAAGGCCATCTTTCCTTTTCAATATTGGTGTATGATAATCGATATCATTTTTGTCCATGGCCTCTGTCTTCACTGTCAGGTATTTGATCATGGAAATGGACACTTTGCCTGGCAGTTGCTACAACAGACTTCATCAGGCCTGATGCACCAAACTCCTCATTATCTGGGTTCGTGAAGGCACAAAGATGGTGAAGGAAGCTTCTGCAGTAATTTCAGCTGATGGGGACCATGAGGAGGTGCTCATACCTCTGTTTGCTGATATCAGGTTGGTATGGGCTAAAAGAATTACGAGTAAGCTATCTGCACTCTCCTGTGCTTGCACTGCATACCTGAAAGCCTTTATGCCATCATACAGATTCCTTATGGCAAGGGCTGCATCCTTGGTAAGTGGCAGACCCATAGCCTTCACCATTTCTGCCATAATTGGTGAGCTGGTGAAAGTTACCATGGACTGTTCCAGGGGGACGGTCTCATCCACTACAAATCCCACTACAGCAACACCAATGGGTGGAACTAAGTGCACAGACCTATCATGACAACATGTAGTTAAATTGATATCTATAACTGCTCCACTCAATCTACTTCACCTGTGCTGCATATTTTCCTGTCATTTTCTGAAGCAGGTGGAGACTTTCATTAGGTTGGGTCTCTCTTTCGTCCTTAGACAAAATAATGTCTCCATAATGCATGAGAACTTTGTCATAAAAGGCTTTTGCTTCATCCACCCTGTCTGGATACTTCTCCTTGATTTCCAGATGCTCTGACTTGCAGAGGCTTGCTGCATCTTGGCTATTGAGTCCTGCTGAGAAATGATTAGTAGCTGTGAGCATATTGTTAACCTATGGTGAAGCTTAAGCCATGTCTGCCAAGCACTTTGGCCTGTATCAGTCGTGTTATGAGAGCAGAACTTCTTCATTACTTCTTGGGGGGACTTCCCCCTTTTCTGGGCATACACAGCCATACACGTCTCCATGAAAACTGCACAGTGTTGAGAACTTCTAAACAGTTTGAGCAGTGAGGAAAATAATGCACCTTCAAAGCTGAGGTCGTCTATCACAGATGCTTCGTCAAGTATATTCCCAATACCTCTGATTACCTTGACAGAGGTGTGCCCCCATAGCTCTTGCACAATGTTCTTTACAACATCCTCAAGGGGGGAAAGGGGTTGGAACTGTGGTGTATCTTTCGTGGAAGTGTGTTGTCCAACCAGGCTCCTCAGATGGGCAAAAGGGCCATCCATAGCCTTCAGAAAGTCATTCACAGAAGGCACTGTTGTCAACAAAGTCAGGCTGTTGGAAAAGTTGGCCCATAATGTGAGAATTGACACGTTCAACACATCACCAGACACATCCAGCAAGGGAGGGGGCATTCTGAGCTGGTATCTTGTTCTAGGTGTCAGGGTCTGTCCCTCATCCAGAGGGGATGTAGCAATGAGGTCCGGGAGTGGCACTGGAGAGTCTTCTCCAGCCACTAATTCCTCAAAGTCGCTGAGGGGACTTGCCCTGGGCTTCACAGGGAATGAGTTGCTGTGCATTAGGAAGTAGGTAATTACACTTGCCTTCACAGGGAATGAGTTGAGAAGAAGGGTAACCTTCTCAACCCCCTGTGAGGCTGCTGTCATATCCATCTATGGCCATCATCCTCCACTACCTCCGACCCCTCCGGACTACCTCTGCTCCTTCGTCACTAACCTCAGAGCCCCCGTATTCTGCAATCACCTCCGACTCCCTCGATGGTCACCACCCCCTCAATTCAATATATTACCTACGCCTCCCTAAGTACGGAACTCCGAAGGCCTCTGGACAGCTCTGACGTCCACTAGCGCACTCCCACCCCCACTGGGCAGTTGACTTGCTTGCCCTGCAAGTCTACCTTCGGGCCTATCCCTCCTTTCCATTTCTGGGTTATAGCCTGCCATTCCACTAACCCCATAACCTGACTCGTCGGTAATATTCAGTCAGCTAACATTTAACTCCATTAGCTCCACTCCGCTCAGTCCTGCCGTTCATGGGCCTGCCCTTGCTGTAACTATATATACATAACTTGTAGATAGGTTACACCCTAGTGATAAAATCAACTAGAGTTAATCCCCCTTTTTAGTTCTTGCTGCCAGCAAGTAAATTAGGGCATGGACATGTAACTTGGCACAGCACTCCTGGTCTGAGTCGCTGAGGCTGAAGCCCTCTGCCATGGAGACATTTCCTTCGTCTTGCATCCGGTCTCTAACAGCCACTACAAAAAGGAGCCTGAGAACTATGCAGTTGTCAGGTCTTTCCTGAGTTTCCCTGTGGGAGGATTCTGGGTGAGCTGCTTGCCCAGAACGTTCCCACGGTTGTGGCTGTGCTGGTTTCTGGGCGAGTCGCTCGCCCAGAATGTTCCCACGGGTTCACATACCTGTACCATTGTGGAACAGTGGAGGAAAAATGGGGGAAAATGGGGGGAGGGTGGTTAGGAGGGGGAAAGGGGTGTCTGAGGGTGTGTGGGGTCGAGGGCTGTTCCCTGACACTAGGGCCATTCACCATTTAGGTGGAAATGGAAAATTTCCTTCAAAATTTGCATCAGAACCATCAGATTTGATTTATTAAACAAACTTTAGGGGAGAGGTTTGTATCTACACCATTTTGTGCATTCCTGTGCCATTCAACCCACCATCTGCACTGCAGTTTTGTATAATGAGCTGACATGTTATTCAAATGAATCCTCCACTATCCCGGCCCCTGTCTCCTGCTGTGTGGCATGGCTGCACCTACAGGACCAACCACAAGCCCATTCTCCCTTCATTTTCCCCTTTGATTTCTTTGTGGTGTCTAGTGGATGGTACAGGGACTAGGTGGTACTCTGGGACATTGCACATGCCTTAATTGGAGCCACATGTTGTATTTGATGTATGTCAGGGTTCCAATATAAATAATTGGTGTGCATACAACAAGCCCCTGGTTCTAACTCATGTATGTCAGCATGGGTCATCTCCCCCAAGCAGCATCCCCTAGTAACCCAAATGGCACATCTGCACAAGGCCTGCATGAGGGCTGGTCCATTTGGTGGTGGCAGTGCCAACTCTGTTTGACCACATCTATTACCCCATATTGAATTATCACACAACCACATGCATTCCCTCTGAACAGGGCAATGCTGGCTGGATTACTCTGCACAGAGTCATACACCCATAGCAATATTACGCTTTTTTCGATGCTGAAAATTTGTCATCTCTTTCTCCTTTTGGTTTCTTTCTTTTCACTTTACATAATTTCACTTATGTTTCAAGGTATATTCCATCATAACTGATGGATGCCTGAAGCAGCAATACCTGCTACTCCTTGCAAGCATTGCAGTCCACTTAGAAGTCACTCTGGACCCAGCAGCATTTCAGACATCCCTGATGACACAACCAGCTATATACAGATGAATCACCCAATCTCAATCAATTTACTCATTCGACAGCAGTTGTCATTATCCCAACTTTACACCATGGCATACATGGGGGATCATCTCTACATTTGGGTATTCTGGTTGGTGTCCTTGGGTCTTGTGGTGTCCGTGGGTATTGTCGTTGTGTTGGTAATAAAAGTAAGAAATAATTATGTGAAATGTGATTCACTCTCTCCCTGTCTGTCTGTCCTGTCTACTCCTCTCTCCGATGTTTCAGCTGTGCCATGGGTTGGTTACCTGGGGGTGGTGTTCCTCAGTGGGTGTTGGGTTCCATCTATGCTTTGTTGTCACCTGTCTTGGAGGTACTGATGAATGACACTAGTCTCCCCACACCTTTCACACTGCCCATGAGGGTGTTAAACTTAGCCTGTTGCTGCAGCCTAGTATGTGACAATGCCTTCTCATTCAGGGGCATTCTGTGTGTCCTTGTCTGACTTGGTTTGCCACACTGGCACTCTTTGCTCTCTGATGTGATGCCAAACCAGTGGTAGTATTCCCTGATGTGGGCATGGCCTGTTTGGAATTGTATGACTTGGCTGAAGGTCTTTCTTCCAAGTTTGTGAAGTGCTTCATGGGTTTGAGTTTCAGTGCCATCTGGTTGGTTGCATAGAATCCCGATTTTGGGGGGTTGGGCATGTTTCTCCACCAGTGGGTCCACACTTCAGCCATCTCTCTCTTGCAAAGGCTTTCTACAAATTGAGAGAGATTTGAACTCAGGTTGGGTTGGTCTGAGGCATGCTCCTTCCTTTGCCAGCTGGTCTGCTCTCTTGTTTCCTAGGATGCCAGTGTGGATAGGGCACCATAGAGTGGAGCAAGAGTTTGGCAGGAAGGTGTGGGGGTGTAGGGCCAAGTTGTGAGTGAGGATCCGCAGCATGGACAACTTGGGTTAGCTCGAAATAGTGGTAAGCAAGTTGGAGTGTCAGAAAGATAAGGTAAAAAGGGGGAATAACCAAGAACAGCGCTCAGGTTCCTTGGAATCGGGAAGGCCTCTGGCGGCCTTTATAGGTTGCCTTGCATTGTGACAGGTTTAGAATCTGTGTATATCTCTAGGTGTGCCAGGGAAGGTAATGTTGAGGCTACACTGGTTGCTCATACAACTACTGCGATGGCTTCACTTGATGTCTGGCATGCCCGCCTTGGACACATCTCGTCGCAATCTATTCTAAAGATGGTCCGCAGCAGTATGGCCAAGGGAATGGAAGTAGTTGGGGATATGAAGGATGGATCAGCCTACTGTGAAGAGTGTGAGGCGTCAGGACACACACGTTCCCCTATCCCTAAACAAACTCTTACCCATTCTGGCGAAATCCTCAGACGCATCTTCTCTGACGTGTGCGAAGTCCAAACCATGACATGCAAGGGCTACCGATATTTCATCACCTTTGTCAATGATCACTCCCATTTCATAACCATCTATCCTATCAAAAAGAAAAGTGACGCTCTTGAGACCTTCAAAGATTTCCTAGCCCAAGCCGAACGTCAATCGGGCAAGAAGTTGAAGGTCTTGTGCACTGACGGAAGCGGTGAGTACTTCTCCAACGAGTTTTCTGAATGCCTTAGGGACATCGGGATTGTCCATGAGAAAACAAATCCTCACACACCACAAGAGAACAGTGTGGCTGAGAGTGTCAGGGCCCGGCCTCTGTCTGGGGGCAGCCCTACCTCAGAGCTGGACACTTGCGGTGTCCCAGGCAGCCAGGTGCTGGATCCTATCCCAAGCTCCTCAAACTCACTAAGCGGGGATTGAGTTGAGAAGAAGGGTAAGTTTCCCTATTCCCCACTTGGCTGCTATAAAAGGGAAATGTACTGTACAGTTCATAACATGACTATGGGTAGAAGCCGAGCATGTTCCCACAATGCAGAAAAGGTGTCACATGGGTTAAGGCGAGTTGCTTGCCTTGACCCACATAATTTTTCCCACGGTGAAGGAGAGAACGAAGGAAGGTCAGTTGGGAGGTTCAAACGAGACCACCACCAAGCTGTTCCCTGGTTCTTTAGTTAGGATGGGGAAGTGTACTAGTGTTATTTATTGTAAATATAGTACCAATCCGAGTGTTTTGGCTAATTCTATTTTTATGGGTTAGTTTTAAAGTTCCTGGGAATTGACTTACAGATAAACCGAGCCCTGCGGAGCTGTTTCTTTATTGAAATTTCTTAATTTGTCTAGGTGTAATTCTGTGTAGTGTTGTTTAATTTGGAATTTAACTTGAATTTAATCTTCTACTTGGTGAAGTTTCAAAGATTCTATTCAGTTAATGGATTTGGATTGTGTCTGGAGTGTCCCTTGGGTTTGTTTTATTTTTGTCTTATTTTATTGCTTGTTTTAACAGTAGCAAGATAACTGTTTTGTGTTTACACTTTGAAATCTGGAGTGTTAACCAGCTCTCCTGTTGAAATATTTACTTAATATTTCTCTCCTTAATTGCTGCCTTTTACTACAGTGGCAATCTTAACTGTATATCACTTTTTCGCGCTGGAGTGACAACCAGAAATGCTTGAGAAAAATAATACTCTATTTTCTTACTTCTCTAAGGGGGGCGAAAAGTCGCAGAAAGGGTCTCCCTTTTATACTCCTTGGGTTGCCTTCCTTTTTCATGCTCTACCTTCTATTTACAGGATTTATTTACAGTGTATTTTTCTCAAACTGAATAAAAAATGAAATTTTCACACTATAGTTCTACTGCGCTTTTGCTGCGCTGAACTGTGGTTACTGCAGTCAGACTGCGCCTAGAATCCTTATTGTCCTCCCTCGCCTAAGCTATTTTAATGGTTAATTAGAACTTGGCTGCGCTGCATTTGTCGCAGTTACCTATTTCAAATTCCCTATATATACCATTAAATTTGCTATGACTCGATGATTCTGAATTCAAACTTCGCATTACTATGCGTACGGCTGTGCTGAGACCTTCAGCTGATTTATTCCATTTTTATTTAGTGACATTTAGTTAAAATGAGACTGAAATGGTAAATGAATGAATTATTCAGGTTTAAAACTGAAAGAAAAAGTTGCTAGTAGTCAAGAATTACTCAAACGAATGTGTTATAGCTCTCCACCTCATTAGAATATCGTTCCCTAAAATTCCCGCCATGGTCTGTCGTAGTTTAGTGGTTTTCATGAATTTCGTTCATATTCCCTGATTCCCCTTTGTATTATCACATCCTAATCCTCCATATGTATTGTTCGTTGTTATAGTAGGT